GCGAGTGCTGTGTACTGACCTCAAGCCGTGGCCTGCTGAGCGTGCTGTGGGCGAGACTGTGGCACTTCGGGCGTTGGCCTCCGGCATGCGGTCATCGGCTGACATGTGGCACGCTCGCCTCGCCCACGTTGGTGTTGACACCATTCGGCGTACTGCAGCTCATGGGTCAGTGATGGGCTTGGAGCTGGAGAAAGGGGGAAAGTCGGGACTGCCTTGTGTTTCTTGTGTGGGGGGGAAAATTACCCGTCATACCTTCCCTCCCATGGGTGGCGAGGAAGATGAGGTGCTTGGAGTTGTGCATGCAGACCTCTGCGGACCCTTTCGGGAGCGGGCCAAGGATGGGAGCCGTTACTTCCTGGTGCTGAAGGATCGGAAGACCCGGTATGTTTGGGTCTACACGCTGGCGCAAAAGAGTGACGCTTTGGCTGCCTTCGAGAAGTGGCTACCCTTGGCGGAGCGGCAGTGTGGGATGCAGATGAAGGCGCTGCGCTCCGACCGTGGCGGCGAGTTCCTGGGCGCAGCATTCACTGCCTTCCTCGACCAGCGCGGCATCGAGCACGACCTCACCTGTCCCTACACGCCGGAGCAGAATGGAATGGCGGAGCGGGAGATGCGGAGCATTGTGGAAGCTGTACGGACGATGCTGCTGCACATGGGTGTGCAGCACCACTGGTGGCATCTGGCGGTGGCGCAGGCAGTCTGGGTGCGCAATCGTGTGGAGCACGCCTCTCTGCCCGACGGCGTCACCCCGTATGAACTCGCCTTCAGTCGTAAACCTGATGTTAGTATGGTGCGCATCTGGGGCTGCATGCTGCAGTACATGGTGCCGCAGTCTCAGCGTGGGGGAAAGCTCGCGCCTAAGGCTCGCTGGGGGTTGCACTTGGGTGTGTCTGCAGTCAGCAAGGGATGGCATGTTTTGGACTTGGAGTCCAATCGCCTGGTCACCACTTCGGAGGCCGTCTTTTATGAGACGATGTCTCTTGCTGGGTGGAAGGCATGGCATCAGCAGGAGCATGCTGGGCGACCACTGTCCTATGAGCCCCTCCCTTCCCTCTTCCCAGATGTGCTTTCGGAGGAGGTTGAGGAGGCGGAAGCGGTTGTCCCTCCTGCCCTACCTTTGTGCCCATCTCTGTGCCGACCCCTTTCCCTTCCTCCGTGTCTCCTCGGGTCGCACCTCTTGCCCCACCCGCTCCTCCTCCACCCCTCCCGCATCTCCTCCTCTTCCTCTTCCCCGTCTGCTATCCCACCTCCTGCTAACCCCTCCCTCCCTCCTGCGTCACCCTCCCCTTCCCCTCCGCCGCGCTGCTCGTCGGTGAGGGGGGTGTGTTGGAGCCTCCGTCTCTTGTGCCCACCGACGGACAGCTTCCTGACTGCGGCGCAGCAGTGGGAAATGGGAGTAAGGGGAGAGCTGACGGAGCTAGTGGGCTTTGCAGCAGCAGGGTGAAGGAGATTCGCAGCAGCTGGGCGAAGGAGACCAGCAGCCGCAGAATGAAGGAGAAGGGGGAGAGTGGAGTGGCAGTCGCGTATTGGCTTCAGGAACCATTACTCCAGACTTGCGTCGCTCTACCCGCATTACGAGGGGAGTTCCGCCTGTTCGTTATGCATGGGCAGTGGTGGTTGAGCCGGGACTGGATGATGCCGACGAGGATGAGGAGTGGACTGAGCTTGATCCGGATGTGGAGACAGACCCGGAGAGACGGTGGGACATTGGGAAGATGACAGTGCCTGAGGCGTTGGGGTGCTGGAAAGGCGACCGTGTCGAAGAGGCAATGGATGAGGAGATGCGGACGTTACTCGCGCAGGAGACTTGGGAACTCGTAACACCACCACCTGGGGTGAACATCATGAAGAATCGTTGGATCCTGAACACCAAGTATAGGCCGGATGGACGTGTGGAGCGAGAGAAGGCGAGGCTGGTGGTCAAGGGGTTCACTCAAGTGGCAGGAGTGGATTATGAGGAGACCTATGCGCCTGTGGGGAGTTA